CTCTTACTGCACTGTTGAGTCCAGGACGGCTCCCGGGACCTTCCTCTGTCTCTCCTGCAGCCCTGGCGCTCTATTAATTACCAAATCAATGACATTCGATTTAGGGGACTGTGCTGCTTCTTAGCTGCAGAGACCCCTCTCCCAACTTTGCTGAGTCCCAGCCCTCAAGGCATCGTCTGGGGAAGTGCTAAAATCCACGCCCTGTGATTCTGTGGGATTGGGAATCTGCACGAGCACAGCACCCTCAAAGCAGCTCGCCTGGCCTCTGCCTCTCGCTCCTCCTGTCTCAGTGTCCCCAGGACTGAGCCCCTGCCGCAGACCCAGTACTCAGCTGCTCTGTTCTCCCATGCAGGGAGGGTGGCCCCTGGGTCTCCGCAGCAAGGGAGGACCACGGCATATTGAGCTGTCCCTGCCTCTGCTCTGCCCTGTGGACAGGCAACACGCGTGCTCCCCACGGCCGAAGCTTGGACTTGTGAACCACTTTCTCCCCAAACCAAACACAGTCTCCACAAATGGTGCTCTTAGCTGGGCAGATGTGCTGCAGGCGGAGCCCAAGGGCCTGTGTGTCCCTGATCCAGCCCTGAGGAGAGGAATTCTACCCAGCCCGACCTAGCCCACAACAGGTCACATTACAGAGGGGGTGAGAAAAGGCCGGTACCCAGACGTCCCTACATGATGTTCTGATGCCCAACGCCAGTGTCACTGAGTGTGACAAGCACTCGGCAAGCCGCTGAGAACTGCTGAGCAGGGCGCTATGGAAACAGGCGCTGGATCTGTTACTGGAACCTGATCCCACAACCTTTGGTCCCTGCAAGGTCGAAAGCAGAGCCAAGAAGGAATATGCAAATGCAGAAGCGTTATTTTGGGAACAAGTTCCTTCAGGCTTTGCCAGCGAGCTTGGGATAGGATGGCGTCTGGACACCATGGAGTCCCGGGTGCCATGCCAGGTCTGCTTGCTTTGCCCTTGAGCAGGCCACCTCCCCACTGTCACCGAGAGCCAGGGCTGAGAGCCTGAAACAGCGCTGGACAGCACTGAGGGCGTGGGCACCTCCAGCAGAGGCAGCCTGCTGGCCCCCTGCTTTCCCTAGGAAGCTTGGCTGCTGGAGGGGACAGGAAGACTCTGAGTGGGGTCCTGGCCTCAAACCCTGCCTCCAACTCCGCCTGCTGTGTGGCCTGCGAAACCTCGTGACCCCTGTGTGCCAGGCTTCTCAGCACTAATGGACCTGACTGTGAGTCTCTTCCCAGGGTCTTGCTGAGTGACTTAGTGACAGTTCACAGAGTGCTTAGGGCAGTGAGGAGGCGGCACGCAGAGGTGACAATACTTGTTAGTGAGAACTCAGCCGTGTGTCTTTGTCCTTCCCGTGCCCCCAGAGACAGCAACACAGGGACCCCAGAAACACCAGAGCATGCAAGGCAGTGAGCGGGCCCACTCTCCACAGCCTCTACCCTCTGCATCAGCTACAGGTGGCCAAGGGACAGCCCTGGGCACAGAAGGACCTCAGGGGGCCCGAGTGCCCCCAGTCCTCTGCAAGGCACACGGCAGACTCAGCCTCAGGGCCACACGAGTCTGCAGCAGACTTGGAGTTGCCTGCTTAGCTGCAGGAGCACCAGCTCCCAGGCCCTTCTGGGCACCGACCCCTCTCAGATGGCCGTCTTCCCTCCTGTGTGCTGGTCAAGAGGGCCCCTGAAGGATGAGCCTCCAGAACCCAGCGTCTGCTGCGTGGACGCCACCCACTTAGCCACGTACCCATGCGGCGGCTCTGCTGCCTTCAGCACGAGGTCTCACCATCTGCTCTCAAGGAACCCGGATGCAGCAGGCCGTGTGGGAGGCCCTGGTGTTCTCCGCTGAGGCCCAACTCACAGGCACAGGCGGCTGCTGGCTCTGTCACTGTGAAAGTGACCACTGTAAGCCTCAGAGAGGCCAGGAAGACTGGGCTGCATGCGGCCTGCTTGCAGCACAGGTGGGGAGAGGGTGTGAGCACTTGCTCTACAGCTTTGCTGCTGAGAACCCCGGAGAAAGCTCAGGGCCTGCCTTATGGCAAGGTGGGTGGGGCAGGCATTTCTCCGGGCATTGATCAGTCACGGGGTGACCAGCAATCCTCCTGCCCTCTTGGCATTGTTTTCGTGCTATCTTGATTTGTTACCCCAAGAATGGTCACAGACGTGGGAGCCCTGCCTGTGACTGATAAACCACCACAAAGAGATGGCTCAAAACCAGAGAAGTCTGCTGATGCTCTCCGCAGTCTTGGGGGGCAGAAGTCGGGGTGCGGGTGTCGCAGTGCCACTCCTGCTCCAGCGCCTCTGTGGAGGATTCCCCTGCCTCTCTCGTCTTCTGGGACTCAGGGCCACGGCCCTGCAACCCCTGCCTCTGCTGTCTTTTCCTCATCTGACTTTGACAAGAACACTGATCCCTGGATGTCAGTCTTCTGCAGATAGTCCCAGATGACTTCATCTCAAGATCTTTAACTTCATTACATCCTCAAAGACCTTTTCTCCAAACGAAGTCATGTTTCCAGGCTCTGTGGGCTGAGACGTGAACAGGTCTTTTCAGACGTCTCATACAACTGCTCACAGATGTCTTTCCAGCCATTTAGGAAGCAGAGTAAATCTGAGCTAACTGTTTTGAAGAGCATTCAGGGAGATATAAATAATTTGCTGTGTCTGATTCTGGAAGTCACATGAGCAGCAGCCGTGGAGCCAGACGGGGAGAAGGCAGGTGAATTCTTCTTAGAGGTCTTCATGATTTATTTGACTTTTGAACAAAACCCATTGTGTATTTTACCAAGTTTCATTTTTATTTTTGTGAGTACAGCACAGACTCCACATAAATCATGGGGAATCCTGGTGTTATCTGCTGATTTTGCAGTGCCAATAAACCTTATATTAACAGAATTTTGATTGTCTGAGAGCTACGTTATTTTATGGCTTAAAGCAAACAAAAGCCACATCCTAACAGCAGACTCTGTGCAGATGCATCTTTCTCTGCATGGAGAGTGACACGCTGACCCTGTGTCCTCACTCCTCCCTCAGGTTCTTGTCCCTCACCCAGACATCAGTGTAGCCTCAGAGGTTTGTTGAATGACTGCCTTTAAGAAATGAGTGTGGAGAGGGACATGAAAGTGGACCCAGGGAAAAGGGGTAGAAGATGTGTTTGGGAAGGAGCTTGGGCTTTACGAACCATGGGTGGGTCCTTTCCAACTCTCTAGATAACAAAGGACTTTAGAAAACTCTGGGACAGGCCAGTCAAACACTGGAAAAGAGAGTCGAGTACACCCTGCATGTTATCCACTGAATTGTGTCACCCTTCCCAGTTCATGTGTTGAGATTCTGACCTGCGGAACCCAAGACCATGACCCTGCAGGTGGGATTTGTTAAGAGGGAGCCCCAGTAGAGTGGGCTGGGCCTGCTGTCCAGTAGGACTGGGGTCCTCAGAAGGAGACCATCATCATGCAGAAAGAAAGAGCCGTGCACAGAGGGAAGAGGAGGAGGAGCTCCAGGAGCATCCAGAATGTAGGCAGCACCGGGCATGGCCAGAGCCCTGAGCCAGGCTGGGAGAGAACAGACTCCTCCAAGGTGGCCGAGCCTTCACCAGACCTCCAGGATGAGACACTGTGACGCCAGGGCCCTGTCCCAGCCCTGGGAAAATCAAACTGTCATCGCTCACCCAACACGAGGCGGGTCACTGGAGTTGCTCCCAAACTGTGAGGCGCACACAAATCCCCAGGCCAGAGGGTTGTAACGGAGAACTCTAAACTTCTGAAGAAGAAAAGCTCCAATTCTACGGATCCCTTCCAGGAAGTAGGAGAAATGCTCCCTAATGCATTAGGTGAAGATAAGGCAGTACGCATATGCAAAAACGCATACAATGCTTATCTGTACAGATGAGAGATGTGATCAATAAATACAATGAATATTTAAATGTTTAAAAATTACATTCAAAGAAAGATATATTGCCTTGAATCCCCTCACAACCCTTCCCCTGCTTTGAACACATTCATCCCCTCCTCCCTGATGCTCTCTGAAGCAGGTCCAGGGGTCTTTTCCATGTCTGTAGTTGCGCTAACTTTGCAGCTGCCTCAATGTCCTAAATGGATTCAACACGTTTCCCTCTTATGTTCATTCTGACTTTGGGGAAGAACCGGAAGCCAGGGCGTGACAGATCTGGTGAATAGGGTGGATGAGGACACAGCGTAATGTGGTCAGGAGCCTGCTGACTGTTGGATGGTGCTCAGAAGGAGCATTTACCATATTGTTTATCATCCCTGAAGATACTCAGGAAAGAGGACTCCAAGAAATAGCAAGAACAGTGGGATAAGTGTGTTCAAAGCCAGGGGAAGTATTTTGAAGGGAATTCCTGGCCATGTGTCTTTTACTATACTTTTTAAATTTAAGCTTTCACCATATTTTTAGATCATCCCTTGTACGTTTATATAAATACACAAAATGTGTGTATATATATGAATATTTTAGACACCAATATCCCTCATTAATATAAGTGCAAAATTTCTCAACCAAACATTATCAAATAGAATCCATCAATACATATAAAGAATTACACACCACAATCAAGTGGGATTTATTCTAGGCACACAAGTCTGATTCAATATTTAGAAATCAATCACCATAATGCACCGCATCAACAGGTGAAAGGATGAAAGTAACTATTATATTGATTGATGTCGGAAAACAGGTTGCAATATCCAATAGCCCTTTCTGACTTAAAAAACAAGCTTAGTGACAAAGAAAGAAAGAAAGAAAAAATGTCAAGAGGTTCCCTGTGATTGTTTGGACAGTGTTCTTGATAGCAAGATGGTGGCCTTGGGACAACTGGCACCCAGAGGCAGGGCGGCCACAGAGAGGGGTCCGCCTGGACCAGGTCACAGGCTCTGTGATGAAGGTGGTCACACAATCCTCACTATGACAAAGCAGTGAGAGCCTGGCGGTGTCAGTGGGGCTAAACTTCGGGCCTGGGCCAGCCACTTCCAGAGCCTGTGCTCACAGGGGAGGAAAGGGATCCAGGGCCCCTCTCTGCCCCCATGGCAGCTTCTTGTAGATCCACAGCTGACCCTGAGAAGAGCAAAATGCAGCAAGCATGAGCCAAAACAAACAAAAATGCACAGCAGCTATGGAAAGTTAAGCCACAAGCCACAGGAGCTATAGCTCCAAAGGTGGGCTACTGAGTGCAAAACGCAGGCTGGTGAACGTGTGTGTGCGTGTGTGTGTGTGTGTGTGTGTGTGTGTGTCACTGGGGATTGAACCCAAGGCCTTCACACATATGTTGATATATCTGCATCCCCAGCATATGTAGATGTAGGTACAGATACAGATACGGATACAGATACAGATATGCATTTTTTGAGACAGAGTCTCACTATATGGCTAAATTGCCCAGGCTGGTCTTGAACTTGAGATCCTCCTGTGTCAGCCTCCTGGAAGGCAGGGATTACAGGCCGGTACCAACCCACCCAGATGAATTTTATTTAAGACTTTAAAGCACTTTTGAGGAAATGAGACCTGAAAAGTGAGTGGTTACTACAAATCGTCGCTTGTGTTTTTCTCCGTACTTTATAGTTCATGAGCAAGAGCTAGAGGAAAGAGGCAGCAGGGCAGGGTGGAGGCCCTGATCCGGACGGCTGGTGAGGATCGCTACAGCCCCCATCCCATGGAAACAATAGGAGGAGGCCAGAGCGCAGGGCGGGGATGAACCACCAGTTGCTCTGGAATCGCATCGCAGGACTAGTGTCTCAGCCAGAAGCCACGCAGTGAGTGCTGTGTGGGCTCGGGAGGAAGGCAAGGGCTGTACCCGCCTGGTTTGTACTCAGGGTGCTGAGGGCTCAAACCCACGGAGCTCCAGCCAGGTGAAGGGGGCATCTGCAGACGGCCCCCAGACAGGTGCCTGGCTCCAGCTTGCTAGGGAGGAGGCTGGCGGGAGCTCACTAAGACAGCAGGAGAACACCAAGTCACAGTGACCTAAAAGCCCTGTCCAGGCTCAGATGCCTGGGTGCCACTCCCTTCCTGGGATTCCCCTTAGCCTCTCCAGGAAGACACTGCTGCTTCGGATCAGGACCTGCTGTCTGTCCAGGGAGCTGAGAACCCAGACGCCGCCCTGGGGCTGTGACACGCCCACGGAGCCATCCCTGCACAGGGTCTGAGCCCTGAGCCTGCTGTGCAGAGCAGGTGGTGCCCTGGCCCTGGGCCTCCGCACTCCACTCGCACTCGGTGAGGGCGGTCGTGAGCTCACAGACAAGGCACACCAAAACTGAGCTGTTGCCGTTTAAAGAAATACTTCACAGTGAGAGAGAGACCCGGTGCCCTGTTCCTCTCCCTCCAAACGCACTCATCCTACTGTTCTTGCCACTTCCTGAAGCAGTTCTGGAGTCCTCCTTTGTGTCTTTAAATTCAGGAACTGCTGCTGCTAAGAACCATCCAGGGGAAAGGCAGATTCATAAACACCACGCTGTGGCCCCGTCCACCATATGCTCTGCATCTGGCACTGCGACTACTGGCTCTTCCTGAGTCCACGTGACCATGAAAGGGGGACGTCTGAGTCAATGCAGGACGTCCAGGCCGCCAGGACAGCTCATCTACAAACACTCAGGAGAGAGGCTCCGGAGCTGCTGCAGGACGCAGTGAGGGCAATGGGATGAGGTTCAGAGTGAGGGAGAAGAGTCGGAGGGGGTTCATGCCAGTGTGTCTTCTACTATAATTTTTAAAACCCTATACATTCACTGTATGTTTTGACTGTTCCTTGTATATGTTAGGTGCACACATGGTACGGCATGTACGTGGTACATGCACAAAGTATAGCACAGGCACACACTCACACAACACATGCTCAAGGAACAACACACCAGAGCCCACTCGACTTGGAGCAGCTCTCCGGAGGAAACTTTGGTAAAGAACTTAGCAACACGGAACTTGTTTGTAAAAACCAAAAAACAAGCTTATTTGAAGCATTGCTTGTTGCGTATCGGAGGCCCTCACGGGAGATGCTGTACAATTGCTTCCTCAGAATGAGCGTGTGGGGCAGGCCTCAGAGGACGGCCCTGGCCGAGGACCTGCCCTGAGGTGCTGGGCCCTGTGCTGTGCGTGGAGCTGCCCTGGGCTGCCAGAGCAGCGGGAGGCAGCCTCCAGTCCTAGCAGCTGTGATGCACGAGTGAGCCAGTGACTAGGGCCAAGCCGGGGTGCAGTGCAGTTCCCAGTAGAAGGTAAGTCCGCAGAGAACCCTTTCTCCCCTTGCTAGATCAACCCAGAACCATCGGGGCCCTGGTCACGTGTGAGGCTCGTGACCCCACTCTGCCTGGAGTCCTGCCCCCTCCCAGTCCCCGTTCAGCCCCACTGTCCAGAAGTCACACTCAGTGATCACAACGCAGGGAAGCGGGGTCTGCTCCCCGGGGTGTGGTCAGAAATCACAGGGCTGATCTGACTTGCTGGGCAGGTTCCAGTCTGGCGCATACTGGCTATGTGATGTTGGAGTATTTTATGTTCACCCAGAGGCTCTTTTCTGAATTACAGAGCTTTTCCCAACACTGAAATAAATACACAGAAATGCTGAAAAAATTAAAGAAAACATTTCCATCTCCTGTGGTTCCCTTTGCAACTTGCTGCTGGGCTGAGCTTGACAAATATGCAAATGTACATCCAATTGCAGGCACGCTGTGCATTTCACAGGGTTTAGAGTTTCTTATCAAAAGGTATGCAAAGGATTCTGGGCAGTAGATCAAGTGGTTGGCGCTGACAGCCTGACTTTGCTAGTGTTAGCAGCTCTAAATTAGATGTAAATAAACGAGCTGATGGAACAGAACGGCTTGCTTTTTTGCTGCTGGCTGCCTGAGTCTGTGACTAAGACCCTCAGCTGCTGGGAAGCAGTGATGCTCTCCTGGACCCTGTGGCTTAGCAGCAGCAGGGGGATGAACTCCTGGGCAGGGAGGCTGAGAGCCAAGCCATGGGCACACCTGGGCTGGGGCTCTGGTTGCAGTCAGCCAATGGCTGCAGGAGTGAGAGCAGGGAGCACCGTCCCACGGCCCCTGGGACAGGTGCCGGCTCCCCGGGACGTGAGCTCACCTGGACAGCAGGACCACAGCAAGATCACAGTGACAGACAGGGGCACAGAATGGCCCCCAGTGCGGCCCCCAGGGGCAGAGGCTGGGGGCAGGTAGGCCTTCTGGGAGGTGACCCCAGCATGCGGCAGGAGAGAGAGGGGGAAGTGAGAGAGAGGGAAGCACTCTGGGAAACCTAGCAGGGCGGCAACACTCGGAAAGGTCCCGCCCATAGCCTTGATCCACGAGCTCCCTCTCCCACTGCTGGGGAGCTCCCAGGGCAGAGGGCTCAGGCAGAAGCCTGGAATTCTCCAAACTGGTGCAGGTTCAGGTGACACGGGTGGACACCAAGGGCATCTGCTGCAGTGGCTCAAAGTGCAGGTGCCCAGGCAGCATAGGGCACCTCCTTCATTTCCTCATCCACTCAGCTGTCGGATCCTGGAGCAGCTGCATTCTTCCTTATGCTGGGCATGCGGGATAGAAGCTTCCAGCAGGATGAGTGTTTGGGGCGGCTGGAGCAAACATGGGCCCCGCCAGCCTCTAGGACTTAGCACACAGCGGCGGACGTTGGCCCTGATGGTCAAACACTGGCCTCTCCTTCCACCAGCACCACACCTGGCACAGCAGATGCCCCATGCGGATTTGTGGAAGGAAAATGCATTAATACATAGAGGAGAGAAGGGAGGATACAGTCCTGTGGTGTGGAGGAACGGAAGAGGACTTCCAGCACACGTGTGGGTGAGGCCTTGGGGATCCCTTCAGACAGGAAGCGGCCATAGAAGAAGAGTTTGGTGCTCTCGGGGCTGCCGCTCTGAAGCTGGCCACCCTCTCCCCAGGCATGGCCCTCCATGTGACCCCATGTTGGGAAAGCCACAGGAAGCATGGGATGAGAGGTAGCTCGGGAAGCTCCAACTTCAGCGAGATTTGTATTTAGTCAGGGCGCCATGACGACAATTTTTTATTTTCACACCTGAAAAATCAGAGCATTAGGCTTAATGCTTGCTATTGCTCGCCACTGTTTAGGGCTAAAACAATCTGTGGTTTGGTTTGAAATGGATAAACATAATGAAACAAAACCTCAAAAACACGTTCCTAAAATTTTTCTCTGTTCACTGGAAAACTTACATTCTTTAGATCATTATTTTACCTTTTTCTGTCTATTTGCTATTGTTGGCATTCCTTACTTCTTTCTCAACACCTGAGTCTCTGTGTGGAAACATTTTTCTTCGGATGGAAGAATACCCACTAGCTTATCTCTAAATGCATGTCTCCATGTCGGTCATCTGGCAAGTATCTTCTGATGTCTTTCCTCCAATTTTTATAAGAATATACTCATGGGCCAGGGGTTTAGCTCAGTGGTGCTGCTGCCTGCCTTGCAAGCACAAGGTCCTGAGTTTGATCCCCGGTACAAAAAAAAAGAATATACTCATTGCGGTAGAGCTATAGCAAGTTAAAGATGCCCTTCGTGCCGAGTCTGGCTGCTTCTGGTTCAGACTGGGCTGGCACCCTTGCTGACTGTGTGTCCTCTCCCCTTTCTTTGGCTGCTTCCCAAATCCACCCCTATAGACTTCCTGTCCAGCCACTTGACTCTGGGCCTAGCTGCAGCTTTCTCATTGAGTCTGGTCGAGCTTCTCGAACCTATAAATTAATTCCTTTCCATCTAATTTGAGATTTGGGCTGTTTCTTTGCCCTGTCCTCAGACTTCTTTGCAGGGCATGCCTGCATGTGTTTTAGAATACATGATCGTGTGTGAGGTACCAATGAGCTCTAGCTTCCTTTTCTTTGTTTTTTCTTAAGGCTGGCTGATTTTTCAAGTTCTACCTGAAGGACACTGACCACCTCTTCTGCCTGCTGTGAGGTTAATCCACTGAGCGTTATTTAAAATACAGGACACTTCAGCTCTGCATTTTCTAATACTCCAGTGTCCCAGCTGACACTCATTTTTCACTCAGCTTATGTTCTCTTTAAGTCCTTGAACATGTTTACAATATCTGCTTTAAAATTTTGTGTCTGCCAAACCCAATATCTAGAACATCTCAAGGTTCACTATCTGACTTTCTTTGTTGGCTTTACTATGAGTCACAGTTTCTTATTTCTTTCAATGGAAAGTATTTTTTATTGTAGACGATTCACTATAAAATTGCTGGATTTTGTTTTATTTCTCCAAAGAGTGTTGAATATTAAAGACTTTATTCATATGACAGAAAGCCTAGCTGTTGGCGGATTAAGGTGGCTGTTGGAGGCTGGTTTTCTTCTTTGCTAGAAGGCAGCAGTGGAAGGAGCAGATGTTCACCAAACCCGTGGACGCCTTGTCCTCTGAGGCCTCAGGAGGGTCTTGAGGTCTCTTCATTCCTGCTGAGTCCGAGCACTGCTGTCTGTCAGTACTGCCCAGCTGACACTTGGGCTCTCAGCCCCGAAGGGGACACCTCGGAGAAGTCCATCCCTGTATAGCCCAGCATCTGTGGCTGAGGCCTCTGCTGTGGAGACTCCTGGATCATGGCTTCGCACCAGCTGCTGCACAGTGCCTGAAACTGTCCAGATTTATGGTTTTATGACAGGAGAGTTCATCCAATATCAGCCACTCTGTCTTGGCCGGGAGGGAAAATAAGGTCATTATTTTGTTGCAAAGTATACAGTCATGAATTATTAGTATTTATATTCTATATACTTATATATTACTATATTAATATTAGCATTTATAGTTATATTTCTATATCTGAAAAATAAAAAGGTTTATATATATGTAAACATGTGTGGGTGAATTTTTTCAATTAAATATTCTCTGTGAAGTTGGGTCATGAAAGCAAGATCTGTGGGCAGGGAGGAGTGTTGGGAATTTTGGAGGGGACCGACGTGCGGTCATCCCTCAAGGTGTGCAGTTCAGTCTAAGTACAGGAGAAATTTGAGTTAGGGAGAAGGGTGAGGTTCATCTTGCTATAGGAAAGGGGCTGATTCTGGGAGGGGTTAACGAATATTAGGTGGTCTGACACGGGAAATGGAAAGCCCAACACTCCATATGAATTCCCCAGCAGGTATTTGCCCTGCGTCTTCTGCATTCCACGATCCATGCAAGGTGTAGGAGCTGTGAGGCAGGCAGGAAGTGGACTTTCATGTGCTCCTGGAGCTCAGCGTAGAGGGCAGGGGTGTGGGAGTGAGTGCCCCGAACATTAGGGCATCAGCCCGTGCCCAGCAGAACTGGGCTAAAGTGGAGGGGTGACAGGGGGAGAGCCAAGTAGAATGAAGGGCCGGTGAGAAGTAGAACTAGTGGGGAACCGATGGAAGCGGAAGTCACAGGAAGTGACCCGGCCAACTCAAGGGCCCAGCAGCAGGTGGACATCCGGCCCCTACAAGGGTTGGGGAGAAGCTGTTTGCGGAAGCTCAGAGAACAAGAGCAAGTAGGGAAGAGAGTGGTATGGAAGTGCAGTCAGCCTGGACTGGGCATGGCCCTGGGGCTGTGGTAGGAAAACTGATCTTTGTCCTCAAAACAGCAGAGAGATGGCAGAGCAGAGGCACACACTATGCCCAAAGTCCTGTGGCTGAACACGGCAAGGTTTCT